ACACACACTTGTGCGAGGTTCGGCTAGGAGCTACGTTCGGCCTTATTCCTAACGGATACGTAGGCAACCTCACATCAAGGTGCGACCGTAATAAAAATGCATTCATATTCACATTCACACACTCACACCATGATCATATCAAGGGATCCTATGTGCCGATCATCCCTATTCACTTAGAGCTAGACTTGGGGGCTTTATCCCTACATTATTAACTTACCTAGCCTAAAGAGTCCCATCTTTTGGCTCTTCACAAAATAATATTTTTCCATACACTTAGCCTTTGCAGCTTAACCTTAGCGTCACTGTCACACACATCACAGATACATGACCAAATATACTTCCCTTAGGAACCCTTTGTCATGAAGTCTTAGCATAACACTGAAGCATGCCTTGTCATATCAACATCAATCATCATTGCATCACAAAGTATGAAGTACTTAGCCTCCGCGCCTAAGTCACCTAAATACTTTCATTAAGCCAACTAGGATAGTCTAAGACGTTACAATCCTTGTATTGTGAGAGACAACGTTAACGGATTAAGCTCATTCAACATGCACCTTCAAAAACTTTGCTTCTTTCTTTTTTCGCGTCTTTCTTTTTCGGGAGAAAGCCGGTACCCTCCCCAAAAATGACGGAATTTTTTTTCTTTCTGCATTTCGAGTCATGTACATATCGAGCTTCATGAGTCAACACTATGCACACACGAGTCACACGAAGTGAGTCATCATTAATTAAGTCAAGTTTATACCTTGAGTCATGTCAAGTTAATAAGACAAGCAACACTAAGTCTTAGGTCAACCCTAATTACATGAGTAAAATCCTATAGTCCAAAATATTAATGCGGGTACATTCCAGCGAGCAAGAACATTCTTGGATTTTTTTTCTTCGAAAAACCGCGAATAAAAACCTAACTCCAGCGTTAGACGACAAGGTTGCCGCCTAACGACAAAATATGTCACCTAGCGACAGATCGAGGACGCGGTGACAGCGGTTTCCAGCGTGCGTCGGATCAGCAATGAGATACATGGCCTCATATTAGATTATGCGGACCTCATACAACAAATTCGGGTTCCTTGGTACGCCAGTTAACCCCTATAAGAAAATTGACATGATTAGTAGTCGGCTCGATTACAATCGCAGTCAGTGATTGACCTGACGACGATCGTCTCACTTAGTTTAAGCGCCTAAGCATTGGCTCATTACAAGCACCAAGGCATCGGTTCAAAAGCAAGCACTTATACGATAATTTTTTCCAAGATTGGATTGTCATCCCCAACCGACAATATTTTTGAATATGGATTGTCGCGCATTCTTCTTAAATGACAATTTTTCTAAGATTGGATTGTCATCTCTGGCAAAGTTTCCAAGCATGGATTGTCGTGCTCCTGCTCTATTTGGCAATTTTTTCCAAGTTCAGATTGTCATCGCTGGCAAGTTTTTCGAGATTGGATTGTCATACACATAGTTCCCTATGGGAAATTTTCCCAAAGGATTGTTGCAGGTCTCTATTCATCTTAAGTGGCAAATTTTTCCGAAGTGGATTGTCGATTGACTCTTTTTTGCAAAAGTTCCAAGATGCGGATTGTCAATTGTGGCAACATTTTCCTAAGGGTGTGTTTGGATAGAAGGATTTGGGGGAAAAGGAAGAGAATAGAAAGGGAGGGATACAATTTCCTTTGTTTGGATAGCAAATTAGGAAGGGAAAGGAAATGAAAGGAAAGGAAATGGGTGGAAAATAATTCATTAATTACTTAGGAGTAAAATAATTCCAATTTTGAAAAGAGTTGGAAGGAAAATTATGTAAAAAATGATGTGTTGTAAAAAGACAAATATATCCTTTACTTTTTAACAAAAATCTGAACATCAATTTTTGATGTAAATTTTTTTCTCTCTCCTCACAATATCCCCAAATTTCTAGGGTTCCGAAATTCAATTTTTTCCCCCAATTAGGGTTTGTGGAGTGCGATTTCACTACAAATCTACTCATACTTGTCATCTCTCTCACGATTTATCTGATTTTTTCAAGGTAAGTGTCAAATTTTAGTTTGATTTTGTTGATTAAATATTTTAGTGCGATTTTGTTCTTCTACTCAAGCTAGGATGCGTGCGATTTTGCGTGCGATTTCTAAGGCATATTGAACTGCGCTTTCTTTTAATTAATGCTTTGCTTTCTGCTTGTAATCATTCTAAGTTGTATGATAATGTACCCCAACTGTTCGACGAAATGCCTAAGAGACATGGGTTTGTTCCTAATGAGGTTTCTTATGGGATTTTGATCAGGAGTTTTTGTGGGAAGGCTGATCCTGAATTGGCTTTGAAAACTTTGGGGGAAATGGAGGAGAAGGGTGTTAAGGTTAATTCTGTTGATTAGGAGTTTTGGGCCAGACCATACTTGATCAATTATGCCTACTGCCTAAGAACCATTTCAGCATCTACAATACTTGGCAATTGTGGGATTTGCTGCCTAGCACAATAATGTTGCACCACCACCACTAAATTTATTTCAAACTTCTACAAGGACTACACTATAATTACTCCACTTCGTATAACATAAAGTCTTAATTTTTGAAGTGACCAAATTCCTAAAGGCGCCTAAAATTAGAAGTGAAAACATATCAATAAAACATAAAGTTTTAATTACTGTTGTTAAGTTTTTTTTTTTTTTTTTTTTGGGACAAATTGTTAAGTTCTGTTGATTTATGCAATTAGGTTGTTTTCTATTTGGCTTAATTTGCTGTAAAATTTCTGTTGAACTGTATATGGTTTATGAACTCTGTTGATCAATTTGAGTGAACACTCTGTTTAATTTAAACTGTTTATATATTTATAATTGTTATGCTTTTGTTGTTGATATGTTCAATAATATTTTTATAGTTGTTCACATTGCCTTTGATATGGAGGGAGATTTTGAGGAATTGGATGTCGAAAATGGGGAAGTGACATGGGAAAGAACAAGACGTGGAGCTGTAATTCAAGTTGTTGGTTATGTTGTGTATGCAATGTGTCTTATCAAGTCATATCATCTAAGTAGGAGTTTGGAAAGATTGACACGAAATCGTAGTTTAGAAGCCTACATGGTCAGAGAGAGTAGACGTCATGAACTTATGAATGATTTGAAAGTCACTCGAATTAGTCGACAATTGATTCGTATGAGCCCCGAGACTTTTGTTAAGTTATGTAAAATTTTAAGGGATGGGAAGTATCTAAAGGATACAAGACGGGCTTCGGTGGAGGAACAAGTGGCAAAATCTTTGTATATTCTTGGTCATAATGCAATAAATTGCTCGTTAAGTGCATTTTTTATGCGTTCTGGGAAACGGTGAGCCGACATTTCCATAAATTTCTAAATGCTATAATTAAGATGGAAGATCAATTGCTAAAGCAACCTAATGGATCAGAGGAAGTTTCACCAGAAGTTCTTGGTGATAGTCGATTTTTCCCTTATTTCAAGGATTGCATTGGTGCTCTTGATGGGACTCATATTCGTGTGAAAGTTGCCAGTGCCAATGCTCATAGGTTTTGAGGGAGGAAAGGTTATCCGTCACAAAATGTGTTGGCGGCTTGTACTTTTGACCTCAAATTCACTTATGTTTTAGTAGGTTGGGAGGGTTCAGCTTCTAACTCTAGAGTATTTAAGAATGCTCTAAGTAGGGAAGACAAGTTAATTATTCCTCAAGGTAATGCATTAGTATCTATGTTACCTATTGTTTTATTATTTTTAATATTTAAACTATTAGTAATTATTTATTTATGTAATTAGGTAAGTATTATCTTGGAGATGTTGGCTATATGTTAAAGACTTCTCTTATTACACCTTATAGAGGTGTAAGATATCATCTTAAGGAATACTCGAATCGGAGTCCTGAGAATGCCAAAGAAATATTCAACCATCGTCATGCCTCCTTACGGAATGCAATTGAGAGAGCTTTTGGAGTTTTAAAAAAAACGTTTTGGAATTATAGGTGGAACTAATGAGCCTCAATATTCTCTTAAAACCCAAACTGATATTATTGTAGTATGTTGCATACTTCACAATTTTCTCATGGGATTTGATCCGGATCAAAGCCTTATTGATGAAGTGGATCGTGAATTACTAGATGCCGACAATGAGGAGTGTGAGACTCTTTCAACCGAAGAAGAATCTAAAGAAGGGTCTAAAATTCGAGATAGTATAGCTAAACAAATGTGGGATGATTATGTATTGTAGGGGAAATAACTATATATATTTTTTGATTTTGTTTTTGTTTTTGTTAATGAATTCTTGTACTTGTTATTTTGATTCAGTTTATGAAAATTCTATATTGTAGCAATCTATATGCTCTTTATAAAGTATTTTTTTTATCTATTTTATATGAGCACATATGGTGAAGAAAAACAAAAGCTCAGATGGAAAGGCATCCACTTCTCTTCGGTGGACTTTACACATGGACAAGGTTTTTCTTGATGCTTTGATCGCTGAGGACATTAATGGAAATAGAGTTGATGGCCAGTTCACTTCAAAGGCGTATGAAAACGTTGTGAAGGAATGTACTGAAAAGTTGAACCATCCTTTTACCAAAGAGCATTTGAAGAATCGGCTTAAGATGATAAAGAGTAATTTCAATGATGTTTATGATCTTCTCAATGATAGTGGTTGGGGTTGGAATGAAGAAACATAATTGTTTGAGAATGTAGATGAAGTTTGGGATAACTTGATTGAGGTACTTTTGCTGTTATTTTCTGTCCATGGTTTTCTATACTTTTTCTGGTATTTTCTGTCCATGGTTTTTTGTAATTATAACAGAATTGTACTTTTTCTGTTATTTTCTGTCCATGCTTTTCTATCCATGCTTTTTCTTCCATGTTTGAGTCTGCATCTAATGTAAATTCAATCTGGTAACGAAGTGGCAGTGATGATATTTATAGTAAGAAATTAGTACATACTGTCTTCAGCTATATTTTGACAGCTATGATGAGCTACATAGTACATACTATTTATTTGTGTTCATATTTTTTTGAATATGTCTGATTGTTTGACTTATGTTGAGAAAGGAAGTAAATCAGCAAAACCTGATAAAAATTGTTGCCCTGAATTAGCTGGAATGTTGGATACTAATCCAATTTTTTTTTGTCAAATGTTGGGTAAAAGTAAGGATTTTCCAATTGATTTGGATCTTAAGAAAGCTCTTAAATTGCCTTATGTTTGTGGACTTCAAACTCCTGATGTTAGCTTGTGTTCAGGTATGAATTTGTTTGTTCGATTTTGAAGTTATAACTTTTTTACTAAAATGTGTTCTTATTTTGGGTTGGTATATTAAGTTATTTAAGTATGCTAATTTTTTTTGTGGTCTTAAATATAGTAGTTATAGTAGAATGATTTGGAAGTATGATTAACAAAGTAAGCAAGCAATTATAATACTACGTATATGGTTTTATACTATTTGCAATTGGTAAAGTTGATTGGTATGGTGTGATTAATATGATAATCATATGATGGTATTCTAAATGTAGTTAATTTATTGTAACTAGCATATCATTACAATTTAATTCAAGAGCACCTTTAGGAATGTACAATATATATAAAAAGAAGGTCTAATTATCTTCAAAAAAATCAAGTCATTTTGTAGTTATAAGTATATTGTTGACATCTCACCAGTTGTTAATTAGTCGGATTCTTTAAAAATGATGTTGTAGTAGAGTATGTTTAGGACAATAATGCAGAAAATCTGATTCTGAATGTTAGCTTTGCGTGCTTTTACAGTGACCATTGGCTGAGTAATTTTATAAGTTAGACTGTCTTTGCTGATTGAATTAAACAAATTTTGGAATAACTTGTGTGTTTTTATTAGCAAATCTAGGCAGTGTTGTATAGGAAAATGTTGCACATCTCTGAGACATGTAGGTAAGGTTCAACACTTTTCTTGTTGTTTGTCCTCACAATATCCCCAAAAGACTAGTAAATAAGACTAGCAAATCTTGAAGTTGCTGGTAGTGACATTTATTAACTTTGTCCTATACTGCTACTGTTCTTTTTCCAGTGGCAACACCTTTGACTTCTTTTCGTGTGATTTAGATGCAATTTTGAAGTATTGGCTGTAATGTTGCTGTATTTGTTTTTTTTTTTGTAGCGAAAACCAGAAGCTACTAAGTGGAAAACAACTCCATTTCGTCATTATGATGTACTTTTGAAGCTTTTTTCCAAGGATAGAGCAACGGGTGAAATTTTTTGAACTGCAAAGGAGAAGAAAATGAAGGCTATGGATGAATCAAGCTTTGAGAAGAAGGATGAAAGCCTTGGAGAAGCCCAACCAAGTGATTCTGCCAATTCGTCCAACCGAAAAGGCAAGAAAAGAAAATCAGAGGAAGTGTTTCAAAATGAGCTCCTATTCATAAAAGAAGGGTTGGACAATGTAACTCTTGTAATTGTTGAGAGAGGTCGTGCTCAAGTGTATTCACCACAAGAGGTTTTTGAAGAGTTGTCAAAGATGGAGATTGACTCGTTAACTCGTCGTAAAGCTTATAGGTTCTTAAATGCAAAACAGTCAAGGATACGAGAGCTTTTTGGTTGTCCACCGGAGGAAAGAAAGGACTATTTGATAGAGATGATGCTCGATGAAGAAAATTAGAAGTGTGATGTTGAGTCCTTGATCATAACAAAGAATTTTTCAATGAGTTTTTTTTTTTTTTTTTTTTTTTTTTTTTTTGACATAGCCAATCAATGAGAATATTTTAGGTGATATAAATTGTAATGTCTATACTTTTCAAGATTATTGTTAGTTTTTTCACTATAAAATATTATGCTTTTGATTGCAATTTTATTAAAAAGCATTCCAAAAAAAATAATATATAAACTCAACTACTCAAGTATAATGTTACAAAAGATGAAAAAAATAAATAATAAATAAATAAATAAATTATTTATATATAATATTCCAAAAAATTACTCTAAAAAAATGAAGTGTACTCCAAAATGAAAAATATGAATAATACTCATAGATATTTAAAAAAAGAAATGGAAAAAAAAAGAAGTTATGTCATCTTCTTCCTGCTGCTACAGCTGCTATTACCAAGTACTCTTCCCTCCCTTCCCTTCCCTTTCTCTTCTATCCAAACAAGGGAAATAAAAATTCTTCCTCCCTCCCCTCCCCTTCTTTTCCCTCCCCTCTCTATCCCTTCCTTCCCTTTCCTTCCTAAAAAGCTATCCAAATAGAGTGTAAAAGGATTGTCACATAGCATTGGTAAATTTCCAAGGTGGATTGCTTTCAAGAGTTATGCTCCAAGATGTGGATTGTTGATCGTAGCAAGGTTCTATGATAGATTGTTACGAAGCATTGGCAACTTTTCCCAAAAAATGGATTTTGGCAAAATTTCCGAGATACGACTTGTCGCTTTATTGTGGAAACATTTCCAAGGACAGATTGTTACGTAGCATTGACAATTTTCTCTAAATCGGATTGTCTACATTACTCAAGAGTTGTGTTGACAAGTGTTCCTAAAGAAGAGAGGATTGTCAGCAAAGTTCAAGCAAGCTTTAAGGATCGACGAGCGTTGATCTTCGGTAATTTTCTTCGGAATATTGCCGCAACAATTGACGATGACTTCGGGCGAAGCAATCTTCGATCATATTCCCTGGCTTGCGGAAGATGGTCACAAGGCGGTAGAAGGTCGTTTCTGGCGAAGCAATCTTCGATCATATTCCGGCTTGCGGAAGATGGTCACAAGGCAGTAGAAGATCGTTTCGGGCAAAACAATCTTCGATAGTGTTCTGTGGCTTGCAGAAGACTATCACAGCGGAAATTGGAGGCAGTTACGGGCGTAGTAGTCTTTAGGCGGTACCCCCTAGCTGAGGGAGATCGTCAAACAAAGGAAGCTCTTTTGCTCAGAGACGCGTGGGCATATCATCAACAAGACAACAAAGCAGCAAAATGGCGTTCCCTAGCTTGTGGAAGGTTGTCAAAACAACAAATGCAGCAACAAATCGATTACCTGCAGAGACGTGTGCTCGACAGTGCAAGATACGCGTTTCTTAACTCTCTTATCTGTTTTAACTAACACTAGTTTGCAGGTATCGGCATTATAAGAATGATTTGGGATTGCAGAACGTTCTGAAACATTCTCCGTCCCTATCATTACTTTGACTTTTGTTTTTGAAGAATAAGTTTCTCCAAATTCTGTCAAAGTGGGGGCTTCTGTAGACACCCAAATGCGTCTCCCCAAAACCAAACTTGGTGATGAATACCTTTCGTGTCATTTGATTATCAAACGAGGTGAAAGTGTGGAAAGTCTAATGATGAGGATGTTTTTATTAAAATATTTCTCTTTTTGTTTTGAAAAATATTTCTTTTCTTACTCCTATTTTATGAAAAATAGCCAGTCCAATTTGGCTTGGTCCATAATAAAGGTCCAATAATAGTGTAGTTGGATTGGGCTCGACAATAGCTTTATAATGATATATTATAGGCCCAATTCCGATGAATTATGAGGAAGTTATGGATTAAATTAGATTAGGCCCAATGATTTTTAAGGGTGGCCTGATGATCTAGAGAAGGGCCTATTAATTATTATTTTAAAAGAATATTTTATTTAGAACAAAAAATATTAAATCTGATTTCGAAAACTGCTCGGACGCTTAATTACCTGTAACTGGTGTTAAAGGTAATTACGCGTGGAAAAGCGCGTTGATTTTCGGACCAGCGCAAGATGACGAAGTTGTCGCTAGGCGCTGACCTTCGTCGCCTGGTGTTGGCCTCGCCACCCGGCGCTGGCTCCTGTCGTTTGCGATAAGAGGAGTTTTATTCCGAATATGATTTTCTTCAATCCCGTGCTATTTTTCTTATAAATAGGGGTCGTTTCTCCCTGTTTTAAAATCATCTACAATCAAAATTCACAACCATCATTTCTCTCTTTCTATCCCTAAAAGCTAGAAGCTTTCTCCCTCTATTATTTTTCTAAACCTTCCCTTTTCCAAACAAAATTCCTCATACATTAGCTTTAGAAACACCTAACCAAGTTTGAAGTTGCCTTCGCCCTAGACGTGAAAGGTTTGATATTTCTGAGGGTTTGGTCCCAAATCTCTATTTCAATTATTTGATTTAATTGTTTGATTTATTATTTTCCTTGATGTTACTAATGCGTGTATTTTGTTATTAGAAAGAGGTACGAGGCATCGAAGTAAGTACTTTAATTAATTTATTGATATTATGGTATAGAAATCATGTTTAGATTATTATTTTGATTCCTAGTATCATGTTTAGACTATTTTATTGCTTCCTAGTATCATGTTTAGGGTTAATTAATATTTCTAATATCAAGTATGATTAAAAGGATGCTTCCTATTTCTTTATTAATATCATGTTAGTATCATGTTAGGGCTAATTGATCTTTATTGCTTAGTGAAATGCTAGGCTTTGTTATTAATCTTGTTAGTATCATGCCTAGGATCTTGCTATTAATATTATGCTTTAGCATTGTCATGATTTATGATTATAAATTATTATTATGATTATTATGTTGCTTGATTTTTATGATTGTTATTGCTTGATCACGCCTTTTATGCATGTTTAAAGGGAATTTATACTTGTAATCACGCTTAATAAGATAATTAATAATCTTGTTTAGGGTTAATTTGATTATAATTCAAGTGATCACCAATAATAGTCTTATTTGTGCATTAATATTCAACCAACATAGATGAAACAGGTTTAGGGTTAACCTATTGATTGCATCTTAGTCAGAAAGCGCACATGAATACAAGAAGAATAAAGTAGAGGCCTATTATTAGGGCAAATCCAGTCTCTTTTAGGTTGAATTTGTACCTTCATCCCCGAACTTCCAGTCATGGTTCTAGACCTATTGGAGTTAACGATCTCCTGGATCGTTAAGGGGTGTAACCTTCACCCTGTGAACGGTTTACAAGTTCCTAAAACTTGTTGGCGACTCTTTTGCTCTTGCTTCCTTCCCTTTGAACGCCGCCATGCTTAATTGTATGATGACAGTGGGGCTCAAGTGTAGGATGACTTGAAATATTTTACTCTAAAGGGACAAGCTTAAAGTCGTACTAAGTCAAGCTTGATCAATTTATTTAGACTTTAATCATTTGTATTAATTAATGAATTAATTTAGCAAAGTCCATTGGTCATTAATTAGTTTATTTAGACTCATTCACAAGTCAAACAAACGGTTAGTGAAAACACATATAGGTTATGCACAAGCAAATAATGTACAAGTAGTCAAATAGTCACAATATGATGCAATTAGTTTTCAACCTAACCATGGATCTAGTTCTCTAAAGTTCAAAGATATGGGTTAGTCAAAGAGGGTCCATGGTTATGAGTCTAGAAGCGCCGCGCGGAAGCCTTATCTTTGGAAGGGTTGGTGCGAGTGAATGGGACCCCATGAGTTAAACTCGCTTTGCACGATTTGGTAAATTCAACAAACCCGAATGTACCCTTCGTTGCCAGGAGCGTTCGATTGGGTAGATGGGGCGTTTATTCTCAGAGGGTTATGCCATATATATGTAGAACACATATGGGTTTCAGAAAAAGGGAAAAACTCAATCAGGAAGTAAAACCGAGTAAACAATACTAAAAACTAGTCGAAACTAGAAGGTAGATTTATGGCTTGGTATTGGAAGAATTCGGCAAGAGACAATAGTGCCTGTCGCCAGACGACAATTACTGTCACCAGACAACAGAGCCATCGCTTGGCGATGGCGCTGTTTTCTCAGCGCTAATTCCTACATGCCTCGGCAGCTTTCTGTTCTTGAATTTTCCAGTTTTTCGCAGCGTCATTTCAATTTTAGTTGTGAAAGATATTTCCCTAATTTTCCATGTGTAAAAATCCTATATTTTTGACGCATTACGGATGGTCTTTCCAATGCGGACCTTTTTATGCTTATGCCAATAATGTTAAAAAAAATTACGCACACGAAATACTTAGAACTTTTCGAGTCTCATCCACTCATTTTAAATTATTGCCAAAATAAATTTTAAGAATTAAAATAGAAATCCTCCCCAGTGGAGTCGCCAAAAAACAGTAGGGAATAATTCAAGCATCCCACACTTGAGCCCCACTGTGATCATACACTTAAGCATGGTGGCATCTAAAGGGAAGGAAACTAGAGTAAAAGAGTCGTCAACAAGTTTTAAGAACTTGTAAACCGTCACAGGGTGAAGGTTACACCCCTTCACGATCCATAAGATCACTAAATCCATAGTGTTCTGGAACCATAACTGGATGTTCGGAAATGAAGGTATAAATCCAACCTAAAAGAGATTGCACCTGCCCTAAAAATAGGCCTCTACTTTATTCTTCTCATATTCATGTGCACTTTCTGACTAACATACAATCAATAGGTTAACCCTAAACTTGTTTAATCTATGTTGGTTGAATATTAATGCACAAACAAATCTATTATTTCCGATCACTTAAATTATAATCATGTTAGCCTAAACAAGATTATTAATTATCTTATTAAGCGTGATTAAAAGTACAAATTTCCTTTAAACATGTATTAAGGCGTGATCAAGAAATAACAATAATATATGATATCAAGCAACATAATAACAATAAATCATCATCAAAATATTCTCAATCTAAAAGCATGATAGTATTAGCAAGATTCTAGGCATGATACTAACAAGATTAATAACAAACCCTAACACGTCACTAAACAATAAAGATCAAAGCTTTATCCCTAACATGATACTAACATGATATAAGGATAGAAAAGGAAGCATCATAAACATGATACTAGAAACATACATGATATTAGAAATATTAGTTAATACCGTAAAAATGATACTAGGAATCATAAAGACATCCTAACATGATACTAGGAATCAAAATAATCTAAGCATGCTTTCTATAACAAAAGAATAACAAAGTAATTAAATTACTTACTTGGATGCCTCGTATCTCTTTCTAATAACAAAATATACGTGTTAGTAACTTCAAGGAAAATAATAAACAATTAAATTAAATAATTGAAATAGAGATTTGGGACCAAACCCTCAGAAATTATAAACCTTTCATGTCTAGGGAGAAGACAATTTCAAACTTGGCTAGGTGTGTCTAGATCTAATGTATGTGGAATTTTGTAAGAGGGAAGGCTTAGAAAAAGAATAGAGAGAGAGAAAGCTTCTAGCTTTTAGAAAGACAAGAGAGAGAGATGATGATTGTGAATTATTGAAAACGGAGATATACGACTCCTATTTATAGAAAATAGTCCGAAAACGATATAAAATACTTCAAGTTCTATATGGAATAAAACTGGCATCTGTTACCAAGCGACAAACATTAGCGCCCGGCGACAGACTCTGTAGTCTGGCAACAAACTCCGTTGTTTAGTGTTAATTAAAATATAAAACGCGCTTTGTGCGTGGAATCCTCTTTTTAATATTATTAAGCAGCAAATTCCATGTTTATCAAATTAAAAACGGGTTTATCATAAAACACTTATTTTATTCCAAATAAAACTCTTTAAAATATAATTATCAATCTTAATACTATTAGAATTTAAAAGAACCTTCTAGATTATCCTAGAAGATTAAATTTAATTCTAATAACTTTAGGAATAATAATTAATAGGCCCTCCTCTAGATCATTGGGCCACAAATTCATTTCGGGCCAAATTTAATTTAGGCCATAACTTCCTCATTATTCATCGGAATTGGGCTTATAATATATCATCGGAAATCTCTTTTCGAGCCCAATCCAACTACAACATTATTGGACCCTTAGGACTGGTTATTATCATAAATAGAGTATAAAAAAGAAATATTTTCGAAAATAGAAATAGAGATATTTTAATAAAAACAACCACATCACTAGACTTTTCACACTTTCCCTTTGTTCAATAATCAAATGACATAAAAGGTATTCATCACTGGGTTTGATTTTGGGGAGATACATTTGGGTGTCTACACTAAGAGCCCGCCTGAATTGAGGGTAAAATCCCGTAAAACTTTATGGGTTAATTATTATAGGCCTTTTGGCATACCTGGATTGAGGGTAGTAATTTAGACCCGTAATTTATTCCTCCCAAAAAAGGGGTAAAAGTTTACTCTCACCCCATCATAACTTTTTACGGGTCAAAAAATCAACCCACAAATTTTCATTTCTCTTTCATCTCTCGACCTTCAAGCACGACTGAAGCTAGCTATGCCGGCCGACGAAGCTAGCCATGGCGGCCGACTGAAGCTTTCTCTCTCTTCCTCTCCTCCTCTCTTTCGAACGATTTCATTGAAGAATTGGATTTGAAGTTGCTTCCCTATTTGTAAATTGCCCCAAATTGAAGTTAAATATAAAGGTTAGCCGTTCTATTTTGGTTATTTGATCTGGTTTTCTTAGATTTTGAATCCTTAATTGATGTTTGTGATTAAATCTATGATTATTTATTTGATTTTTATGATAATTTTCATTTTTTTTTCTAAATTTAATTAGGGTTCCTTAGTAGGCGTAATATATGAAATTGAACGGAAATTAGTTCAATTTGTGCGATTTTATGAAATTGAACGAAAATTAGTTCCATTAATTGATGTTTGTGATTAGATCTATGATTGGTATTGAATATTGATTCATATTCCAGTCATATATGTCCAGCCTTTGTGTAAATTTGTTTATTTGGATGTAATTTGGAATTTGATGGTTGATGTGAAATATATGGATTAAATATTGCTAATTTGCAGTTAAATTGTTTATGAAATATGTTCAATTGGTGGTTTGAAGTTTTTTGAGAAATGTTGCCCTTGGTTGAATCAATCTGCTCAATTTATGGTGTAATTTTGGCAATGAAATCACAGTTCAATTTTTTTTTTTCTGAACAGATTTTGAATCATAGAAAAGATGGACAACAGATTATTTCTATGAAATCAAAGTTCAATTATTTCTATGTTTCCTTTCTATGTCCATATAGTTTTCATAGAAAATTATAGAATTATTGATTGTATGTCATTCTTCTATGCATCCATGGCTCGTATGCCACCATCAAAACGTCAAAATGCTATTATTTTACTTATTTACTTTATTAGATTGAGGGATATGATGATGATGATTTTTTTACACATTATGTCTATACTTGAATTCACTAAAAATACCACACAAAAAAAAAATGTTCATTCTTCCAAACGAACCCTTATTCAAGGTATGAAGAATATAAAAGAGTTTCTTCGTGATGAAATTAGTTGTATTGACCAATTAAGAATGGATAGAAATACATTTTACACATTATGTGATTTGCTTCGTAATTATGGGGGTTTAAAAGAATCAAGAAACATGTTTGTTGAGGAGAGAGTTGCTATATTTTTAAATATACTAGGTCATGACTTAAAACAAAGGTTGATAGTGAGACGTCTAAGAAGATCTAAAGAGACCATCACTAGAAACTTTCGCCAAGTATTAAGATGTGTTTTGCGATTGCACAAAAACTTGTCAAAGACTCTGGAGCCTATAAAAGAGGATTGCAAGGATCAAAGGTGGAAGCGGTTTAAGGTATAGTATAGCTAATTAGTTTTGTTAGATTTTGGTTTAGGCATATTTTCATACATTGGTAGCTAATTTTTTTTTTAATTGTCTGTTGAATTGCATAGGGGCTTTAGATGGAACATACATCAAATTAAGGGTCTTCTGACATTGACAAGCCTAGATATCGGACAAGGAAAGGGGACATAGCAACAGATGTTTTAGCTGCTTGTTATATAGATATGCAATTAATATACTTTTTGCCTGGGTGGGAAGGCTCTGCTGCTGATTGTAGGGTTCTCAAAGATGCAATTAGTAGAAGACATCCTGTTAAAGTCCCTCGTGGTGAGGATAATACTTTTTGAGTTTAACTTAAGTTTGATTTAATATAATTGATTTGTGTTAAACTTTTGACAATATTTTAGGAAATTATTATTTGGTTGATTCTAGTTACACAAATGGAGAAGGTTTTCTTGCCCCATATAGAGGTCAAAGGTATCATCTTAAAGAGTGGAAGGAGGGTTATCAACCTACTACTCTGGAGTACTTCAACATGAAACACTCATGTGCTAGGAACGTAATTGAGAGATGTTTTGGATTACTCAAGATGCGTTGGGAAATACTTAGAAATTGATATGCATCTCTTATCTAGTAAGGTAGTAGTTCATTGTTGTGCAAAATTGTAACCTAGAGTAGGTAGCTTATACTTGAACATAATATGGAGTATGCATCTAAAGTTAATTATTATGCAAATTGTTAGTTAATGCATCTGAAGTTTAAACGGAGTTTTCTATGTTTTGGACTGAATTGCTAAAACTGAAATATCACTATACTTGTGTCTAAATTAAAGAAAGGGTCCCTGTGCCAAGAAATTTCAACTTTGACCTTTTCAACTTCAATAATGTAAAAATTATTACTCTTTGTCATAATCAAATTCTAACTTTGAGTTTGCTTTTGTTTTGTTTTATACCATAAATTTATAGTCTCACAAAGAATCAAAGGGCTTGTATCGAAAACCATTCCCATTGTTTGATGATCTTGAGGAAGTATTTGCAAAAGATAGAGCTACTGGAGTGAAAGATGACCAAGTCATGAATGTCCAAGACATCACCCAAGATGATGCTACATCATCAAAAAAGTCTATTGAAGTATCATCTACAAACCACGATGATGTATTGACTGAAGGGTCTAGTAAGAGGACTATAGATGAGGGTTCATCCAAGAAGCCAACTATGAAAAATTTGCGAATAACCAACAAAGAAATTCAAAATTTTCAAAAAAATTTGGAGTCGATGATGGGAAATATGTTGGAGAATAGCAATGCTCAGATTGATAAGTTGGTGAGTATTCTCGAAGGGCCAAAAAATATCAAGGTTGGATTGCGTGAAGAATTATGAAAAGTTCCTGATATTTCTACGGCTAATGCTCTTTCTTTGTGTGTTAAGATGACTAAAGATGAGATAGTGATACTTCGAGACTTGGTGGATGATGACGAGAAATATGATTTTCTAACTATGATTTTAAAGAAGTAATGGTGGTCTTTGGGAGTTAATTTTGACATATGTACTAATAATATTAATGCTACTTTTTAGTTTATTGTCTATTTGAGTATTTCAATGTACTTAAGTACTAATTATGAATTTATTTCTTAATTAGCTTTTTAGTGTTGGTTTTCTAAAATAATTTTACATATTGTGAAAATAAAATCTCGTAAAAGAAATGTTAGAAAAATAAAATGGAAAAAGAAAGAAGAAAAAAAAACAGAAGTGATCATGCCCAGGGTGAATCGAAAATTGAGATCAAACTCCTAAACTTGGAAATGGGCTGGAATTTATAAACCTGATAACATTTCCAAACTTGATAAATAATTACTCTTGTAGACTTTGTCCACCCAACTTATTCCCCCTTGAATAATTAGTGCTTTAATAACTACCCCCCTAATGGTTCCTTGCAATCCAGGCGGGCTCTAAGAAAGTGGGTTCATCCTGTTTAACACCATTCTTAACCTACATGGCTGAAAACAAACTATCATCAAATTAAATTAACATTTGCAGTAGATAACTTACCAAGGACAAAGTAAGGATATGCTTCACCGGTCATCATAACATCGCCCAAGTGGGGTGTAATGTAACACCTTAGAAATTCCTTTACTTTAAAGTACTGGTTTTACCCTTTTTAAAACACGAGATAGGAAATTCTAAGGCTTTACAGCCACCGTGATAATGGTTAAGACATTTATCAAAGACACACAACAGAAGACTCTCTTTAAAACCATTCAAAACAAGTCAACTTAAAAAGTCAACCAAACAAAAGTAAATTCAAACCAAAGTCAAACGAAGTCAACCTACAACTTAGAACCATTGTAGGCCCTTATTAAAATCGAACAATACTTAAAAACCTTTGCGCTAGTCTCACAAGCATAATATAATATAGTAAATAATTAATAAATTGCATTATAGTCTTATGAAAACTAAGCATGATTTGCTCTTCACTCCTGCCCATCATCAATATGCTTCATCACTTGAAAAGCTTCTCTTTACTTGTCCCAACTACTCACCATTATAAATGGGTCGTCGTAGGGCCAAGATAAAGACAAGGCCAAACAAACACACACAATCAGCAATGTTGAGTACATAAGCATAAATAGTACACACTAACATGATTTCATCTTATCATCACACAACTTACCTTGTTGCACCTGTTCACAAGCATACAACATATATATGACACAACCAATCAATAAATAACTAAATTATTTTTTAAGCTTGATAACACATCGAACAAGTTTCCTCCTAACCTGCCCTAATAAAGGGGTACTAACACGGGAGCTAACTGTACCAGTATAAATGAACCACTCGTAAGTGGCGGAATCCTGCGCATAATAAAATGGAAAGTACAAGGTCCTATACCCCCAGTAGAAGTTACAGTCAAATATAAAGTAGGATAACTCCCCTCATATGTTTATACTCAAGGTATATACGTTCCAGGAGTTTTGGTGCGTAATCTCTTTCACTTTACGTTGTTTACATATTATTAGACTTGGTAATGAATCAAACCATAACACAATCAATCATTATAATTATTCAAGAAATCAAACATACCAAATTAATTCTTGAATAATTAGTGACCACATAATCTTTAAATGCTGAACCATTTTTAATGTAACTCAGTGTCAAAGACACCTTAAACTCATAATGCACCACAAATCCTATCCCTCAGTGTTGAAAATACCTTAAGTGCACTAAGGTACTAGAATATAATTTCATTATCGTGTTCATAGACACTTAAATAGCTCTTTCCTCATGCTTGTAGCATCAATAAAAATTACATGAACCATAATAAAATTCACTTTCAATATTCCAAATCAAATTAAACATTTAGTTTTATTAAACATGCTCTCATTCATGCCAATAAAAGTGTGGTTCAAATCCAACATGCCATTACAATTGATTTCAATCATTAATTCATAAAAATAATCCATACTTCACCAATTAATTACCAACATCAATCCAATCAATAATTCCAACCAATACCTAACATGATACTTGACATGATAAAGTCGTATCACCTTATCATAAGTAATTACCTATGTCCTCTAACTAAGTAGATAGGGAAGTAGGGTCGAACCACTGGAAAACAAGTCAATTTATTCCTAAATAATTAAAATAATATAAATTATTAAGTAACCAATTTATTGTTATGAAAAGAATTAAACTAAGGAGATTAAAGTATAGAGAGAAATCAAATAATAAAAGCCTAGGGTATAGGTTCACTAATAAATAATATTCCAGGGTAAAACACAACAATCAATCATCAATGCATCAATTAATTAGATCATAAAGGACTTTCGCTACGTATTAGAATCACATAATTAATCTACCAGTATTAAATCGCATCTCTCGAATCTTGACTTAACCATTTATAAATTAACCTATCTATTGAAACTAAGCCTAAACATCAATTCTCATCTTTTGAATCTCGAATTAGTATTGCATAACTCATACAATTAAACCTGATAAAATCTAATTACATAGCATTAAATCAATCAATAGAAAATGAATCAAGCATTGAAAAACAACAATAATAAATTACCCCTTCATATTATTTATGGATCCCCACAACCCTAGAAAATAATCTACTCACACATAATTAAATCTAAACTAATCAAAACAATTAAGCAAAACATGATGAACAAAAGCGAATAAATTACTGAAATTAAAAGGGAAGAAATCGTTACCAAAGTTAACGGAAATAATGAATTGAATCAAAACTAAGAGTTGTAGAGAGAAGTCTAAGCTTAAGAGAGAATTAAACTAATGAAACATAGGTAATTGTATAAAAACAACTAAAACATATTTATACAAAACATAAAAATCCTAATTAAAATCTAAGTAAAAAAGGTCAAACTTTTCTATAAGACACGCGCCTGGTCAGGCGCCAGCTCGCCCGGCCGGGCCCACTGTAACATCACGACCCCAAACAAATTAGGGAGGGCATATTGTCACGAAATGCGCATCAAGGGCCAACAACTGTCCCCAAAGACGAACACAAGTCCTTTCGGTACATTTTATCCTCACTCATGCGCGCCCTAGGAAAACTTCCTAGGAGGTCACCCATCCCAAGACTACTTCCAACCAAGCACACTTAACTATGGAGTATCTTAGCATATGGGATCCCTAAAAGGAAGATGCATATTAACACAAGTCCTTCCGGCACATTTTGTCCTCACTCATGCGCGCCCCGGGAAAACTTTCCAGGAGGTCACCCATCCCAAGACTACTCTCAGCCAAGCACGCTTAACTATCTTAGCATATGGGCTCCCTAAAAGGAAGATGCATATTGTTGATATGAGTAGTATATTATATCCATTTAAAGAAATTATGAGGGGTATTACACCCGTCTTTTTTCTCAACGTACATCTCTTGCGCCCGGTCGGGTGCGAGCTCGGGCGAAGCATGCCTTTCTTGATCTTTTGCCTCGCCCGGTCAGGCACGCCTCAGGGCGAGCCTTCCCCGATCGGGAAAGACTATTTGTACTTTGAATGGACTTTGATTGGGATTCCATACTTAGCCCAATCTGGATTTCCTCTTTGGGGCTTGATCTCTCGGTCCAATATAATGCCTCAACTTCTCATATGTTGATCCCTTAATCACTGGTTTGATGACTCTAACCAGCCTTAGGCTATGAAAGAAGAGCATGCTCCTCTAATGCTCGTAGTTGCTCCAAATAATCCTGGGAAAAAGCTTCAAATATGCAATTTCCTACAAAACGCTTATAAAAACTACGAAAACACTAGAAAACACATATTAGGAATAAAAGTAGCTCTAATGAGCTCAAAATACTTTTAATTATGATTAAGGGACGGGGTTAAAAACACACTCAATAAAAAATTTGGGGTGTTAACTTGCGTTGACTTTCCTCTCTTCTCCTTCTGCCTATGGCGATTTGATTTTGCTGGTTTTTCTTCCACTTAATCAATTTCAATGGCTTGAAAGAAGAAACAATCCACCCCCAAACCTCAAAATAACTTGAATTAATCTAATATAGCTTCTTCAATTACTTTGAATGATGGTGTAAATCAATTGCATGTTCCTAGGTTTTCTAGATCTGCTTCGATCCACGAAGTTGATGAATACCTTGAAGAGCTTGTCACTCCTTGATGTGTCTATTTTATATAGTATTTTACCCCCGTCCCTTGGTCATAATTAGTAGTGTTTTTGGCTCTTTAGAGCCACTTTTATTACGAATTGGTGTTTTCTAGTGTTTTCGTAGATTTGGTTGACTTTTGCAGGGATTTGCACTTTTGGAGCATTTTCCCGAGATATTTTGGAGCAATCACGAGCACTGGATAAGCACGACCAGTTTTTATAGCCCAGGGCCGGCTAGAGCCATCAAACCGGTGATTAAGGGCTCGGTGTAGGTGATACCGGGGCATTTGGACCAAGTATTCAAGACCCAAAGAGGAAAGCCAGATTGGCCCGAAGAATTGGAGCCCAATCGTAATCCAATAAGTGGCCCAAGAGAGCCAGCCGGCCAAAGAGGCTGGCGCCCGGAGGCGCGCCCGGCCAGGCGCGAGAAGCGTACTGATGAGCAAAAAGGCACGCCCGATCGGGCGGTGCCTCGCCCGATCGGGCGCGTGTTATTATTAGGAGTTAATTTCGACGTTTAAGTTTGTTTTAGTTTAGGATTTGTACGGAGTATAAATACTTCTCCGTCAAACGATTTTAGTATCTCTCTTCTTTACTCTCTTAATTATTTTCTTAGATTTTCTCTCTCTACTTAGCTTTTAGATTAGTTTCTTTCTCTCATACTTTGTTCATTAATTGATTCTTCATTCCAGATTTATTTGGTAACGATTTCTCTTCTCTTAATCTTAGTTCTTTATTTTATTCTTTTGATCATGTCTTGCTTTATTTCTTTGATTAGTTTAGTTTTTATTATGTGTGAGTAGTTCTATTTCTAGGGTTTATGGGTATCCATAAATAATATGAAGGGGTAATTTATTGTTGTTAATTGTCAATGCTAGATTAATTTCCTATTGATTGAATTAATGCTCTGTGACTATATTTGCGCAGATCTTTTATGCATGAGTTTAACAATATTGATTCGAGATTCGACAGATGAGAATTAATGTTTAGGTTAGTTTCAATAGGCAGGTTAATT